CGAGTCAGCCAGGCAGCTATCTTCCAAATTTCCTGGCATATATTAGTGAATGTATCCAGGGTTGCAACATGGCAATTGGTATTCCATCGATTCCTGGGGACATTTTTTTGCTAATGCCTTCAGTGCAGCTTGAAGTTCTTCTTTTGTTACCATTGGCTCTTGATCATATTGTCCTTTCTGAAATATTTGTTTTGCCCCACTCTTTTTGTTTCAGTGATTCTATGTATTCCCTCCATGTTCCTTTTTTTAAAAAAAATTGTTTACATACAATTATGTGCTTACATTGTGTCTCATTCATATACATTGTGTTTTATACAATCTTTCTTTTACATTGTGTTCTATACAAACATTCATGTACATAGTATTTTTTATAATTAATTACTATTGATCTATGCCTCCATCTTCTTTTGATGCTTCCTGGATAATTCAAGATTTTTCCCATAGCATTTCTAAGTATTGTAGCTTAATACTTGAATTTGTTTTTAAGTTCATTTAGCTTGACAAATGCTGAGTAAACAAGATCTCCCCAGAAGGTCTTGTACACCTTAGTCTCAAACTAAACTTTGTTTTTTTAACACTTTAAAGGTTATGCTTTTGTTGGGGTTTTTTGGGGGGGTGCAATAGGCTTGCCCAGTGCAAATACATGAATTGATTAGGGTTTTTTAACAGCTACTGCCTCAGGCATTGATTGTAAATCTAAGTAAAATTAAATCCTAGACAAATTTTATCATGATATTGTTTACTGGTCCAGTTAGGAAGATTTTTGTTTTCATAATGTTGTAGTATAACTGAGGTTTATATCCTGTTCACTTTCAATAAGCAACATGAGTCCTCTAAAAATTTAAATAAGTCAACTTTTGAGGGATGGTAATTTATTATTTGTTTGCTTACAAATTTCATACACATTGTGTTTCATACTATTCTTCATTCACATTGTCTTTCATGCAATCATTCTTATGCGTTATGTTTTATAAAATTAATCACCATTGAATCTTGCTTATCATTACCCTGTCTTTTCACCTGGATCTTTCTCATTTCCTTCCAACCCTCTCCCACCACCCACCAAACTGTGCAACCCTGTGGCTTCACCCTTACCTATCCTCAGCCCTCCCCTGCCTTGAGTTGTCCTTCTATTTTTATAGTAATGGTTTTATGCAGTATTTGTCCTTAAGAGAGACTGTGTCAATTCATTTAGCATAATGCTCTCCAGCCTCTCCCAAGATATGTAGTATTTTTCAAAATCATTGCTCCTGAGTTCTGCATAGTATTCCATTGTGTGAATGTACCACAATTTCTCAATCTATATGGTTGTGTTTGGATATTTGGGCTGGTTCCATGTTCTTGTGATGAACATTGGTGTACAAATCTCCATTTGTGTGTCAGTTCTTATTTCCTTGGGGTATATTCCTAGTAATGGAATAGCTGGGTCATATGGAGTTTCTATGTTCAATTTTTTGAAGAAATGCCAAAACTGTCTTCCAGAATGGTTGCACTATTTTACAATGCCACCAACAGTGTATGAAAGTTCCCACCTTTCCATATCCTCTCCAACATTTATTGCTTGCCACCCACTGCTGTGTGGGTGAGATGATATCTCATGATGGTTTTGATTTACATCTCTGTTATTGCCAGTAATTTTGAGTATTTTGTCTTGTGTCTGTTGGCCATGTGAATGTCTTAATCTGTGAAAAGTCTTTGCATGTGTTTTGCCCATTTTATAATTAGGTTACTAGTCTTTTTCTTAATTTTGATACTGTTCTTAATGTAGACAAACTTGGTTTATTTGTTCAGCATATCTATTATCTTCAGAAAAATTTTACTTGCATGTGATTAGAGATAGGGCTGTGTGGGGATACCTGTATGTGACCTCTACTAACTCCACAGAAGTTTCCTTTTAACTGTATCCTTTATACTGTATCTATCAACAACATCTACGGTATAAACTCTTTCCTATAAGGTCATATATGATTTCCCACTCTCCTGAACCTACTTTTACAACAGGAATCCTACTGCCTGACTTGGTTTAAAACCGGTTGCAATAGATATGCAGACATCACAGAAACATGCTCATGATTATTCGGTTTATTAGGGAAGTTAACAAGCTATAATTCAGGTTTGCAGCAGGATATAATCCCTCAGTCCAGACAGATTCTCAAGAATGGTCCAAGTCTCTTTGACCTGCAGTCTCATGGCTTATGTCAGTGTTACAAATTTCCCATAGTCCTAAAAAAAATAATAATAAATTCCTTGGTCCTGCCTGTTATATGTTGTCTCTCCTCAGTCCTTCGGTACAATTAGGTGAAGACCTCTGACTCTGGCTCTATGGGGTGGCAGTCCCAAGCCAGCTCTATCTCAGGTTGGTCTCTGGGTTTTTAGTAAGGCTGCTATTGCTCTTCTTTTTTTTTCCCTGTTGTTCTTCTGTAGGTCTTGGTCTGGCTGGTTCAGGAATCACTGGCCCCAAATGACATTTACTGCATCCTCTTCTTTGTTGATGTTGTGAATCCCAAATTCTAGTGCTGAATCTACTAAATTTAAAGCAAGGAAATGGTGAAACTAACCAGACCTCTTACAGATAGCCTAACCACCCTATTTTTATGATCCCTCTCATGATTTTATTTATGTAATAAAATCAAAGCCGGTGGCTAAGAAAGCCATTTTGAACAATAAATCTTTGACACAACAATGATATTGTCTGATAATCTGCATTCTGTTAAATGACCTTTATTTGAAATGGGCATAAATAGGAATATCTTCTGATCATTAAGCTATGTAGCTATCATCAAAATTTTGGTGGGCAAACAAGTGACCATTTCTAGCCTTATTTGTTAATTGAAACATATAAACTGATCCTACATTTCTGAAGCCTTGGTGTTTGGGGTTTTTTTATCAGTGCTTCAGGAGAGTTTGAACTTCTTTTATTACCATTGGTTCTTTACCCGATGCTGCCTTCTGAAAGGGCTGACCATCGACTTTTTAGTACGGTGACTATATTCCTTCTGTGTTCTTTTAATGCTTCTAGAATGATTCAATATTTTGCCCATGGAGTTATTTGCAATTGCAACTCAAAGGTTGATTCCCGCCCCCCTCCCCCACTTCTTTCAGCTTAGGAAATGCCAAGAAAGAGTGTTTTCTTTCCCCTTTGGTTCTCTAACTTTATGACGTTGTCCATTTCAAGACTACTTTGAAAAGTACAGTCCAGCTGCTCTTTGAAATCTTCTGTTCACCTCTCTTACTTGGTCATTTCTTTCCTTGCTTTAGTTTCTTTACGTTCTGTAGTAAATTCCATTGTCTCTTCTGACATACATTTTTATCTTTTCTTTCTATTCTGTATATTTAGTGAAAGTTGTGATGTTGTGGTCCACAGAAAGTTGTAATGCTAACCGACAGGTGGGACTTCTCTGCTAGTTTGAATCCACCAGTGGCTCACCAGGAAAAAGATGGATAGTCTTCTCCCATGCAATTTGTAGTCTTTAGAAAATGAGCTGAAGCTCAGGTATGGGTGGCTTTTGACTTGAAGGCAAAGAGAAGTGTTTTTGTTTGTTTGATTGGGGGGGGTGTTGTTTATTTTCTTCTTATTGTTATTCCACAACTCCTCTGGTAGTCAGTCATTGATATTCAGTGCATCAAATCTATCCCTGAGATGGTCTCTAATCCAGATGGGATTACTCAAAGTTGGATTTTGTTTGTTTTTAATCCTTTTCTTGTCTTTGAATGAAAGCTTACAGAGCTAATTAGTTTTATAGTGATTTGAGAGAAAGTTACTAGAGAAAAATTCATATTTTTTATTATTATATTTATTCCTGTCCCCATATTGTAACAGCAATTTTTCTACTGCCTCTTTATGATTCCTATTTCTATTCAACCACCTGTCTTATTCCTTTCTGCCTTTGAACTTTATCCTTGAGAAAATGCTGCTTTTTTGATCTTGTACAGTTGTAAGCTGTGTATTTGTACGTGTTATTGGCCCTTTATAGGCCTTTCTGCTACTTGGCTCAATCTTGAGCCACAGGGATGAGTTCATTTGCTTGCTGGTGACTAAGGTGTAAAGGTCTCCAGGGTTTCATCATTCTCTATCAGTCCAGTAAGTCTAGGTTTTTAAATTATTTTGAATCTTGTTCTGACTTTTTCTCCCACCCAATCCAAGATCCTTTATAGTAATTCTTTTCAGAGTGATCAGTAGTGGTAGCCCGACACCATGGAGTTCTGATCTCAGGGTTGTGGAAGTTGACGTTTGCCTGCTGTGAACTGATTGTTTTCATGCATAGTTGATTTGTCCTACTTTTCTTTGCTCAGAACAAGAAGAGACCAGCTGCTTCATCTTCAATGGCTGCTTACAGTCTTTTAAGAGTCCAGAATCACCAAAGTTTGATGTAGAGCTACTACTGCTACAACTACTACTACAACAGAGTAGATTGTATACTACTTTGTGCCAATTGACTGTTAAATTTGGCTCTCATGACCTTTTCATTTTCTTCAGTGTCAGCTTAAACTTAGGTATAAACTTAGGTCTGTCAGTCTCTGGCTTTGGTCTGGCTGATCACCTTCACAATATTTGCTGTGTTTAAACTCATTGATGCAGTTACTGTTTAAATCCATCACATTGTGCATCTTCCACTCTTTCACTGATTGTCCTGTTCTTCTCCCAGGACTGCCTTCTGCTGATAATCCACCAAAACTATATGAGGCTAAGTCTCACAATTACTGCTTTTAAGGAACACGCTGGCTGTGTTCCCCCCTTATTTTATGTCTTTCAAGAACATTTAGGAATGAAAGGAGAGGCAGTAATTAGTGCTCAGCCCAACATCTTGAGCTAAATCTCTTTAAGATTTCAACCAGCACTAAAGAATGCTTGAAAATTATACTATTCAGTTAAATGCCATTCACAGAAAAATAGAAACTTGTATTTAAAATTGTGTTAATACATTTGTTACAGAGTTTACTATAACACAGTATTTGGTTTAAAACAATGTAAGCTGGTTTTGAAAGTCTTTCTCTTTCAGTTTTGTAATAGGTGCTGTCTCTCCTGCTGTTGTTGTCCCTTCCATGCTGCTTTTGCAAGAAGACGGTTATGGCGTTCAGAAAGGCATTCCAACCTTACTAATAGCTGCTAGCAGTTTAGATGATATTCTGGCTATCACTGGATTCAGTACATGCATGAGCATAGTCTTCTCCTCAGGTAAACAAGAAATGCATCCACCACCAGATCAGTCTTAGCCTTCTGTTACTCTTTCTTTTTCTTTTTTTTTTTAAGTTTTTGAACCAGGTTTCAGGTTTTACTTCTCATTACTTCATAGAAATCCCATTACAAATTCCTATTTAGAAAGCACTTCTCTACTAGCAATTAACATTTATCCAAAAATAAAGAGTAGGCAAACAGGGTCAAGAAAACTAGAGGAATGGATATGGAGCAGGTGGGGTAGAAATAGTGAGTATGCAGAAACACTGCAAAGATTAAAAACAATGTCGTGGAAAAACTTGTATATAAATTGTTGAATTGGAACCTCATTTTCTGTGTAAACTTCCACTTAAAACACAGCTGCTTTCCCCCTACCCCGCCCCCCCCCCAGAAATATGTCTTTTACCCAATGTTTGTGGTTTGTTTTCTGGTTGGTGGTTTTGGGTTTTTTTATAAGTCACTCTAGATTTTTAATTGCTTCAAACATCAAAGTTGACTTTTATCTTTCAAATCACAAAGCCATACATGATTTTTACCTATTTGCTTCCATGCAACAAAATATTCAAAGTAATTGAAAATATAAATATTCATACGAAAAACTAGAATATAGATCAGAGTTTATTATTGTGTTGTTGATTGCCATCAAGTCAAGCATGACTCATAGCAACCCTATAAACAAAAGACCTGAAGCCTTTCGATAACAATGGTCATTTTTCAAAGTTCATAGAGTTTCCAGAGGCATGTTGTTTAGGAAGTGGATGCCACTCCTAACCTGTTATAAACTGGGCATTTGACCAAACACTGTCCACCATGGGTAACCTTTATGACATTTGAAACCCCGATGGCACAAGGTTCTGCATCACAGCAACCCCAGATTACCTCAGTAGAGCAAATTGACAGAAGAGTGCTGTACCACTTAGAAGAATGTTCCCCAAAAATATAACAGTTGACCCTCCACAAGATCTTATTGACTCTAAACAAGAGGCTTAAGTAAAAACAACCAAGTTGTTGTTTTTGTTGTTGTTATGTGTCATTGAGTCACCTGCAACCCATAGTGAACAGTACAGCAGTTCTGAACCCTGCTCTGTCCTAAGCCAGTCTAATTCTGAAACACCAATCCCCATTGCCCCACTTACTGTATCAATCTATCTAATCCAGGGTCTTCCTCTCCTGGACTGTACCTCTACCATGTTGTCCTTCTCCAAGTACTGGTCTCTCCTGGCCACATGCCCAAAGTACGTGAAATGGAGATTCAAAATCCTAGCCTCCAAGGAGAGACTTGGTTTCACCCTCTCTAAGTCAGACCTATTTGTTTGCTTGGCAGTCTGTGGAATGTTCAAGATTCTTCTCCAGCATCACAATTTGAAGAGATCGATTCTTCTTCTGTCATCCTTAGCCATTGCCCAACTTTCTAAAGCAAAACAAGTATTTGCAAAGACCATGGCCTGGATTAGATGCACCTTAGTCTCCAGACTGACATCATTGCTTTTCAGTACTCTGGAACGGTCCCTGACAGCAGAGTTTCCCAATGTAATTCATCTTTTGATTTCCTGACCGCTGGTGTTAAGAATGTTGATTTTGGAGCTGAGCGGGCTGTTAACTGTTAACAACCATAATCTCTTCTCCATCTATTATTGTGCTGCCAGTTGGCCCAGTGGTGACAATCTTTTTCTTCTTGATGTTGAACTTCAAACCACATTAAAGACTACATTCCTTGACCTTCTGCAGCAAGCACTTCAGGTCTTCTTCAGTTTCAGCAAGGAAAGTTGTGTCATCTGCATATTGTATACTGTTGCTGAGTCTTCCTCCAACCTTTATGCCACACTCCTCCTCATAAAGCCCTGCTTCCCATATGGTCTGTTCTGCATACAGATTGAAAAGATATGGGAACAAGATGCATCCCTGATACACTTTTTTCCTAATATTGAACCGTGCAGTGTTTCCCTGCTCTATACTGAGGACTGCTTCATGGTCCAAATATAGGTTTCGCATAAGCACAATTAAGTGTTCTGAAATTCCCATTTTCCTCAAGATTATCCCCAATTTGTTGTGATCCACACAGTCAAATGCTTTTGCATAGTCAATGAAACACATATAGACATTATTCTGATATTCTCTTCTTTCTGCCAGAATCGATCTGACATTGGCAATAATGTCTTTAGTGCCATGGCCTTTTTTCTAAACCCAGCTTGTATTTCTGGTAGTTCTCTGTTTCATTGTACGGTTCCAGTCATTTCTGAATAATCTTCAGCAGGATTTTGCTAGTGTGTGATATTAATTATATTGTTCAATAATTTCCACACTCTGTTGGGTCACTTTTTTGGGAATGGGAATACCTTAAACATAAAGCAAGATAGATAAGAAAACCCAGCATTAAATTAGCTATCAAAGCCAAAGTGAAAAAAGAAAGAGTTCTTGTTGCTGGAAAAAAGGAATCTTCTCACTGACTAGCCTTTAAATATTGAACAACAGTTTTCTTATCTTTGGTAAAAGGTCACTTTACACATCAGTGAATAGAAAAATAAGGCTTATTAGTTACTTAGATGGACTTTGCCAAAATAAGGCGTAATAGTTACTTAGATGGACTTTGCCAAAGACAGGCACAGAATGAATGGCAGAAAAGGGAGTAGAACTACATGTTTGAATGCTAACACCAGCCAGTTCATGAGCTATGCTGAATGCTCCTCAGATTTTTCTCTATAATTTTGAAGTTTTTTACCTCTCACCAAACTGGAATATTGGCACAATTCTCTCTGTTACCAAATATTTTGAGATTAAACAGCCAAAGTTGTAGAAAAGTTAAACTAAGTTACACATTCAACTGACCTTTCTAGGAAACCCTGGTCTGGTACGTGTTGTTGTTGTTATTGTTGTTGTTGTTGTTGTTGTTGTTAAGTGCTGTCGAATCACCTGCGACCCATAGTGATCCTGTCCTGAGCCAGTCTCACTAATTCTAACAAACCAACCCCCATTGCCCCAGTTACTGTATCAATCCATCTCGTCCAGAGTCTTCCTCTCCTGCTCTTTCCTTCCCGCCCTTTTTTACCATGATGTCCTTCTCCAAGTCTCTCCTGACCACATTCCCAAAGTATGTGAGACAAAGGTTCAGAATCCTAGCCTCCAAGAATAAACTTGGTGGTGTGTTCAAGACTCTTCTCCAGCACCATAATTCAAAGGCATCGATTCTTCTTCTGTCATACTAAGTCATTGTCCAGCTCTCTGGTGCCTAGAAAGTAATTGCAAAGACCATGGCCTGGCTTAGACCCACCTTAGTCTCTGACAACTGACAACATTGCTTTTCAGCACTCTGAAGAGGTCCCTGAGAGCAGATTTTCCCCAATGCAATTTGTCTTTTGATTTCCTGAATGCTGGTGCTAAGAGGGTTGATTGTGGATCTGAGCAAGCTGTGATTGTTAACAACCTCAATCTCTTCTTCATCTATCATAGTGCTGCCAATTGTCCTAGGAGTGAGAATCTTTGTCTTCTTGATGTTAATCCTCAATCCATATTGAAGACTACAGTCCTTGACCTTCTGCAGCAAGCATTTCCCAAACTGATGAGATACTATTGCTTTGCTCCAGAAAAAAGGTTCTGGGTTCAAATATATTCAGGCAATAGTAAGTAAGCAAAGGTTAACCTGTTTCTCCCTGTAGAATTTACCAGTGTCTTTAACTTTAAAAAATTGTATTAAAAACCTAGAAGGAGCAAAATCACATATTTACAGGTCATACACTCTTTCTTTTCTGAGTGTGTATTAATGGTCTCTGAATCTCATGTGGAAAAGGCTTGCAGAGTGGAAAGAACACAGAATTTCATGCCAAATGACCTTCCTCTGAGTCCCAACTGAACTAATGCCTGCGTATTATTTCAGTCTCAAAGTTCAGGTTTCTCATCCCTCAAATGAGTGTGAAGGTAAATTATCGGACTCTAATGACTAGATGTAGTATGGGAAGGTATATTAGAAGAATAAAGACTGTACTCTGCACAGAAGAAATATAAAAAAAAACAAAACACTAAGTCACAGCCTGCTACAAAAGTGAAGGTGATGGGACCAGAAGGGCTTGAAGACTGAGGAGGTGGTGCCAGTGTTCTGGAAGGTGCTAGGGTGCAGAGCTGATGGGTTCCTTGGAGAGGGGGGTACTTGGCAGGGACTTCAGATACTCCAAGTGCCTCCAGGCATCATCTGGGTTTGGGCACACATAGTACACAGTACACAACATAGGCAATAACCATGGCAAAACAGGCAAACATGGCTGATCAGTGGTCCTGTGGTCAGCATCGCAGAAGCTGACTCCAGCTTCATGGGCCTGCATCAGTGGTTTCCCTGCAAACTCCTCTCACACCGAGGTGTATCAAGCAATAGCATCCACAGAGGTAGGGTCCAGCCATAGTTCCCTCAGGGTCTCCTGCAGGGCAAACTCATAGTGCAGAGGATTATGTGACACACAGATTTCAGCACTGAGCTTGTCCAGGGCTTCTTTGAGGATCCTGGTGACACAGCTATAGGACAGGTGCAGCAGCTGCAATCCCCCAGGCTTGCCAGCAAAGGTGAGCCAGTGGGCTCAGGCAAATCTAGTTCCTTCAGCTGGCTCAAATCTGGAAAAGGTCCATGTAGAATGTGATCATTCTGGTTGGCATCAAGTTTCAGGAGCACAGTGTCAGTAGAGATGTCCTTGGGGAATTCCCACATGCCACTGGCACTGCAGTATACAGTCACTTGCCCCTTCATGCTCTGGACATGGACAGTGTTGCAGACAGGAAGATCCTAAAGGCAGACAAAAAGAGGAGAGGGAGACAAAGCCCACTCCTGGAGACCTATAAGGGTCACTGCTCAGGAATGCTGTTCTGCCTTGGGCCAGTCCTGCCATATGTGCTCTTTCTTATTTCCTAAGCTAGCTCCATGAGCAGTGTCCCTGGAAGACATAAACACTCATCTCCTTTTGTGCCAAGGAAAAGTAGGCAGTTCTGACATCTGCTCAGCTGCAGAGTTGCTTCTTCCGGAACCAGCCAGTCCAGCACCACACTGTACAAGTAAGGTGCTACCAGAGGACCCAGCGCCCAAGCACTGAGCCATCAAAGAACCCCAGTGTTTGTGGTTTTTAAAATAAGGGAGTCGGGAGTCCTGGTAGTGAAGTCTATAGGGAGTTGTGTTGCTAACATAAAGGGTGCACCTCTCTAATGGTTTGAATCCTCCAGTAAAACCTGTAGTAGAAAATGACAGCCTCCTTCCATGCGATTTACAGCCTCAGAAATACAGTGGAAGGTCAGCTATGAATTGGTTCTAGTTGAATGGCAATAAGTTATTTGTCTTTAAAATTTTTAAAAAGATTATCATAAATTGCCAAATATTTTCAAAGTTGAAGATGAATTCCTGAGATCTGTTTAACCATCGACCCTAGTTAAAATGTTTTACTAGACTAAATGATTCCCTATCTGTCATCAAATAGAGTATTTTTTAAAGGTCATTAAGCAATAAAACCCTTAAGAAATGTCTAATTGACAACTAAATTGGGACGATAAATGAAGCAGCATGGTTTATTTTAACCTCTACCTTCCACACTAACCTGGTTTGTCTGTTTTTGTGTGCTGTTGAGGCAGAAACAACTCATAGTTGACTCTACAGAAGGTTTTCAGAGATAGTAGATCACATGAGAAGAGATAGAAAAGCCATTTTACAGGCATCAGGTCAGTATGCATTAACTTTACTGTCATTGTTATTATCTTGTTTTTTCCAAACCAGAAGCAATAAAGGAGTAGGAGTAGTAGTTGTTGTTGTTGTTATATGCCATAGTCACCTGCGACCCATAGCAACCCTATACACAGCAGCTCCGAACCCTGCTCTGTTCTGAGCCAGTCTCACAAATTCCAACCCACCAACCACCATTGCCCTAGGTACTGTATCAATCCATCTCATTTGGGGTCTTCCTCTCCTATGCTGTCCATCCACCCTTCTCCAAGGACTGGTCTCTCCTGGCTACATGCCCCAAATATGTGAGATAGGGCTTCAAAATCCTAATCTCCAAGAAAAAACATGGTTTCACCCTCTCTAAGACAGATATATTTGTTTTCTTGGTGGTCTCTCTACAACATTGTGCAACAATGAATGAATGGAATTCCAAAATCTCTGTAGAAGTTCATTGAAATGAAAAAAAAAAAAAACCAACTAAATTAATAAAAAAAAATAAAGGGATAACCAGTAAAATGTGTATGTTGTTTTTGTTATGTGCCATCGAGTCACGTATAACTCATAGTGACCCTATGCACTTCAGCTCTGAACCCTGCTCTATCCTGAGCCAACCTTATTGACTCTGACACACCTACACCCCCCCCCCCCGTTACCTCAGTCACTGAGACAATCCATCTCATAATGGTTCTTCCTCTCTCGCGCTGTCCCTCTACCCTTCCAAGCATAATGTCCTTCTCCAAGGCCTGGTTCTTCCTTGCAAAATGTGCAAAATATGTCAGGTGGAGCTTCAGAATTCTTGTCTCCAAAAAGCAGCCTGGTGCCATACTCTCCAGGACAAACCTATTTGTTCTCCTAGCAGTCCACGGTATATTCAATACTCTTCTTCAGCACCACAGCTCAGAAGCATCAATTCTCCTTCTGTCATCCCTAACCATTGTCCAGCTTTCTGATGCATAGCAAATAATTGCGAAGACCATGGCCCGGATCAGGTACACCTTAGTCTCCAGCCTGACATCATCGATCTTTGGTATTCTGGAGAGGTCCCTGACAGCCGACTTTCTCAGTGCAATTTGTCTTTTGATTTCCTGACTTCTGGTAGCAAGAATGTTGATTATGGAGCCAAGCAAATTGAAGCTGTTAAAATCTCAATCTCTTTACTATCTCTCATGATGCTGCCAGTCACCCCAGTGGTGAGACTCTTTGTTTTCTTGATGTTGAGCTTCAATCCATATTTAAGGCTGTAGTACTTCCAAAAGGGGAAGGGTGGAAATCACTAGGATAACTTTTATGGAGAAGATACTTTTACAGCTCTCTTACAGATAAAGGGAACTTCCTTGTCAATCTCAATCCATTCTTCTAACTCTTTTGGTATTTAGGTTGGCTGTGTAAGGGGATGACAAGAGTGTTGACTGTGAAGCTGAACAAGCTGTAATTGTTAACAGCCTCAGTAATGCTCTCAGCTTAGGGACCAAGGTGAGCCTGATCCAGGCCATGATCTTTACAACTACTTGCTGTGCATCAGAGAACTGGACAACAACTAAAGATGACAAGAAGACTCCATGTCTTTGAGCTGTGGTCCTGGAGAAGAGTATTGAACATAAAATTAACTGCCAAGATAATGGATCTGTCATGGAGAGGATGAAACCAAGTTGCTACTTGGAAACTAGGATTTTGAAGCTTCTTATATACTTTGGGCATTTTGCCAGGAGGGTCCAGTCCTTGGAGATGGACATCTTGCGTGGAAAGTTGGAAGGACAGCACAGGAGAGGAAGACCATGGATGAGATGGATTGGCACGGTAACTAAAATAAGGTAGTTGTGTCAGAGTCAGTCAGACTGGCTCAAGATAGGACACGGTTCAGAGCTCTTGTACATAGGGTCACTATGAGTTACTTGATATAACAGCAACATATAAAGGGATGAAAGTGTTGGTTTGTTATTTTTGTTTTCTAATATATGGTTAAAGCATTTGACTGTACACCAGAACATGGGCAGAACAAACCCACCATGTGCTTTATGGGAGAAAGGTGAGGCAATCTACTGAAAAGATTTATAGTTTTGGAAACCCTATAGTGAAGTTCTGTCCTACAGGGTCACTATGAATTATAATTAACTTGGAGGCAGTGGGTTTGGTTCTGAATTTTCTGAATAGTGTTGACCTTTGAACAATATGGGTTATAACTTTTCAGGTAAACTTTTTTTTTAAAAAAAAGGATTTTCTTTTTGTTGTTGAGTATACAACATACATCATGTGCAAGTCTCCATGTGCAAGTCAATGACATAAAATTTTTCAAGTTGTGCCCCCATCTCACCCCTCCTCTTCTGAGCTGTTCTTCCTGCAGGAACATACATTCACTGTCTCCTACATTTATTATTTAATTTTTTTAGTTGTAATTTCTCAGAGAGGCATTGCTTGCTAGTTAAGCTAAACTAATATCATGGAGTCAGAAGTGACCCATGGCTAAACCCTCCAGTGAGTTTTCAGAGGCTATAAATTGCACAGGAAGAGATTTCTCATCTTTCTCCCATAGAGAAGTGGGTGGATTCAAACTGCCTGTCTTTAAGTTGGCAACACAATTCTCTACCAACTAGGCCATTCAGACCAACTTTTACCCAGAAGTTTTTCTTCATGGTGCTGTTTTGGTGAGTTCAGTGTTGCTAGTCATCTCTTCATGAGTATTTTAAGTGAATATTCACAGCACGTGAGCTCACCAATAGCAATGGATGTGGAGGGAAGGACGTTGTAGATAGGCCTTCACCATTAAAACTGTTTTTCAAGATCTTCTGTAAATTATACTCAGATCTGTGACTGCTTGGGAGCTTAGTGCCACTAACCCCTACCTTGTTCATGGGTCAACTACATATTGAATGAGTTAAGAGTACACAGTTATCCAATAGATCCACATATACATGTGTAATTATCAAAGGTCTGCTTTTACATAATTGTACTATAAAGTTCACCTTGCTTTGTAAATTACCTGAATTGGATTTTCTGAAGTGGAGGGTTTGTGAACGGGTTCTCTGGAGGTGTAGTCTACAGCCCACCTTCTGAAACCTGCCAAAGGGTTACTGTGGGTCCAAATAAACTGGATGGCAGTGAGTGTTTAAGGTTTGTTTTTCTTTTTAAGGGTTTGGAAAAATAGTTCTCTGTAAATTACTTTTTTGTGTGTACCCCTACAGGTAATATACTTCATACTCTTCTAATTTCTTTGTTGGAAGTATTTATTGGTGTGGTAGTAGGAGCTCTTTTGGGATTTTTCATTCGCTATTTTCCAAGTAGAGACCAGGTAAATAGAAAATGAATCTGTTTGTTGTACTTTTGTAAAGATCCACAGAATTTAAAATTTAATATTAAAACTGTTCCCCAAAGTAGCTCTAGTCTTTTCTTTAAACTAAGGTTTCATTTTTAGTTAAGTACAAATAAAGACTATTGAGAAAATATAATTAACTCCAATTAATCCCTTTCCATTCCACCCAACTCCTTCCTCCAAAAGGTTGCGGACCGACTTCTAATAAGTATCCTAATCCATTCCCTCCTCCAAAAAAAGGGAAGACTTTCCCTCAGACTTTTGAGTACAATAATTCCAATTTATCTCTGAATATTTTCTTAGGTCTCCTCTATGATGTTGTTGTTGTGTGCCACTGAGTTCATTCTGACTCATGATACTGGCCCCATAGGACAGAGGAGAATGTCCTCATAGGGTTTCTTAGGCTGAAATCTTAATGGGAGCAAAATCACCAGCTCTTCAACTGACTTTCTGGTTAGCAGCCAAGGTCCCAAGGCCTCCTTTGGTCTTCCCTATAGTTTACCATGATTCAGATCACATTTGACTTGTTAAATCTACTGCCACATCCCTTTGACATAGTCACTATTCTATTTAGCCCTTTCTTACCCTATGGGATTTGCCATTATTCTGTATTTCGGTGACCTTTGCCCTAAATTCCTGTTACATTTTTACAGATTAAATATACAGAATTTTTTTCAAGAGTTTATTGAATAGAAAATATGGAGCCATAGGTTATAAAGGTCTCTTGCCTTACCCGCCTCCATGTCTTATAACTGTTTTATTAAACATTATCATCAGAAAATGTGACGCAAAATAAGACTTCATTATTGTAAATTTTGTTTATTGATAGTAAGTCTGCAAAAGTATTTGGAAAGAAGGAAAGCCAAAGTTTCAGATTCTATATAATATTCTGAGACATGGCATTACAAGGCCAAAAACAAACATTTAATAATGTCAGCTCCTGTATTTGTTATGTAAAGTAAATTAACCTCTATCTGTCTAATTCTAGAAAAAACTTCACGGGAAGAGAACAGTTCTAATTTTGGCTACGTGTGTTACAGCTGTCCTAGGCAGCCAGCGTCTGGGTTTACATGGAGTTGGAGGATTGTGCACACTAGTATTGTCTTTCGTTTCAGGCATTTATTGGTCCAGAGAAAAGGTGAATGTTTTAATTATTCAAGTTCATTTTTAAAAATAAAGTTACTGTATTTTTTTTTAAATATCTGTATTGGCTGTTTAGGTACTTGTTAAGTCTGTTTGGAAGATGTTCTAAAGGTTTTATGTCCTTGAGGGGAGGGTATGAATCGGCCACATGAATACGATGTGTAAGAACCTGAAAATACACTAATGTGTAGTCTGAAATGGAATTCTCTTATCAGCTACATTTTCTTGAATTTTATGTAACAGAACTATATCATTTTTATTCAACTAATTCATTCATTAAAATTTTATTTATAAGATTAATACATGAAAACATACTAATAAAGCATTAAAACAACTCTGAAGAGTCACATACAGTAAACTGTATGGCCATATATCGACTCTTTTCCCCTTATCACTCCCAAATATTAAATTCATTTCCCAGCATTAATCATTTCTTCTAACCACTCTTCTATTTGAAGGAATTTATATTTTTTCAATATTTTTATTATCACAAATAGTGCTGCCAATTGTAGTTTTTTTCATAAGTCTTTTTTAGTATGTGCAAGTGCCTCTGATGGACCTAAATCAAATAATTGAAAGCAAAAAAAATACCACCAAAGCACTGTCATTGACTCTATTCTGACCCACATTGATACTGTGAGTAGGGAAGAGTAGAATTGTCTATATAATTTCCAAAAATATAAATATTTTTAAAATATTCTTTTGTGTTGTATATGAACTTTGTAAGTTCATATACATTGTTTCACACTATTTTTCATTCACATTGTTTCAATCATTCCCATTCACTGTGTTTTATAAAATTAATCACCATTGAACTATGCCCATCATTAACCTCTTTCCAGACAATGTAAATGTTTACTGAAGCAGTTGCCTCACATCTTTCTCGCATGGGCACCTGGTGGATTCAAACCTCCATCCTTTTAGTTAGCAGCCAAAGGTGCCTCCTAAAAAAATGAATGTTGGTTTAAAAATTTGTATGTCTAGCCTTAGATGGTTATTGTCAAAATATCTTTTAAAAAGACTTCATTAATTTACAGTCCTACCTTGCTAAGAAGGTAGCCTTCAGTATGAGTTGCATCTCAACATCAAGAAAAGAAAAAACATAATTTTTGACTCATGTACTTATAACTTGTTAGTTAAATTTATGTCTTCTAGGTTGCAACCCCCCCATGATACATCTTCAGGGATATGAACATGTACGGCTAAGCACAATTAATAACAGTGCATCTAAATTCCAAAATCAATCTCCATAATAGTCTATGTGTTTCCTACTGCCAAAG